AGAGGCCACATGCTCCACTGTCCGCTCATCTCCCTGTCCTCACCAATTAAGCCTGAGCGTGGGGCCGTTCACAGGCTTCTTGGCCAGGGAGCGGCGCCCAGCAGGGATCTGGGAACAGAGGAGGGGGACAGATCAGGGGCGCCGCCGTCAGTCCGGGTTCTCTTCCCTAATGACGCTTTCCTCAGCGGCGCGGGTGGAACAAAGCCTGGGCTTCACACACCACGTCCACATGCCGCTCGCTCTGCACAGTCTCTGGGCAGGCGCTGAACCCGCCTTCTCCAGGGAGGCTCTGTGAGCACCGCTGCTGTTTCTTCACAGGCTGAACTGCTTAAGACTGTGTGTTTCAACATACATTTGGCAAGTAATGTTAGTGTTGTCTTTAAGTTATTCAGAACTTGTTTTCATACATCTGCTTCAGAGTATGCTTGTCATTTTTCCTGGGTTGTTGTGGAAATAATCTTTAATGCAGAGTAAGTAAAATTCAAGTTTAAAGTCATAAGGCTGAACACAAAATATTTCTAATGCAAATCTAAAACTCATTCTATTTCACCCTACTTGCAAAAGTCTTACTGTAAGTTAAAATCAGTTTTGAATCTACATCCTTATTTTCCCTATTTTAACTCTTCTCTCTCTTTGCAATTTCCTTAACTATGTGTTCCTTCCCTACAATGAGATTAAACATGGGAAGCATGCCAAAAGTACAATACAGGGCAACTAATCATTACTGTACTCGTCTGACAGAATGCTAATAACCAAAAGGAGAGCAGTGATTGGCTGGCTTACCCTCCAAGAGATGAAGATGTCTTACAGGCTTTTAAACTAGTGTTCCCTATCTACAGATGCTTACTTCTATGACATGGTTCCAAGGTGTCACACTACACCAGTGCCAGCCCTGGGCTCCGGTTAGGTACCCACAGACAGGGCTTTTCTGCAGTTGAAAGAGCGCCATCAGACAGGGACTTTGTCAGGCCCCACCCTGCAGCACAGTGCCTGCTGTTTGTTCAGCCAGGTATGAACTAACTGACTCTGTCATTCGGTCACCATTTAAACCTGCACTCTCCAGAGATGGCCTGGGTCTTGGCAGGAAAGAAACGGTGTCTGAAGCTGAGAGTTTTACCCCAGATGATGATGCTACAGAGATCTGAATGGAGATCTCACTTCACCTACGCCTGCTGTCTCTCTTGACCACCCAACCAGAAGACCCTGCTAATGTTCCTCATGGAACAGCCAGGATGCTGGAGAGTCCCCTCTGCTCATTTTCACTTTTCTGAGCTGGGGATCAAATCCAGGGCCATGAGCATGCTGAGCACATGGATGCTCTCCCACCGAGCCAGAGCCCTCAGCCGTCTCCTCCTTTGGCGGACTTGAAATCTCAGTTTTTGCAGACTGATCCATCTGTGACAGCTGTTCTGCTCTGCGAAAGAAAGCCCACCTAAAGGAGACCACAGCTGTTTTGGATGTGGCCGAGGGACCCCACCCCCACCCGTGTGTGAGTGGGCTGTCCCTGAATGGAACAGAAGGGAGAGGCAGCAGGAAGGCTGGCTTCTGCCTCTCTGAAGGAGCTCCGGTCTCCACCTGTGTGGTGGCCGTCATCTCCTGGCTGCCAATGGACCCTTCAGTCTCCAGATACGGACTCACATGGCTCTAAGGCACGCTCTGGGCCTCCACTGCATCCCTGGGCTCTGGAGTGCACCCTTGCACTCTTCCGTGCCTGATCCTGTGGGCAGCCACTGTAAACCCACTCTGTACATCCTTATACTATACACGGTGGTACCTTGGTTCATGGACTGGATTCTTCCCATGATTCCTATGCAAACAGAATTAGACAGGAACCAAATCAGACTCAATGGTTAGGTTCAATGTTGACTTTGTGGTGAAATTTAATTTGGTTTTCTTCTAGTTCAGAATCGTGGAGAGAACTGAGTTTGTGAACCGAGGCACCACTGTACATGTAGGATTTATATTAAATCTGCTTCTGTAACAAGCGCTCAGTGACATACTTCAAATTCTCGGTTCTGGAGGTCTGTTTAAGTCCTCAGTAGTGAGGTGCCCATGTTATTGCTAACCTCTGAGCTGGTATTTTGGCCCCATCCTGACAGAGAAAGAAGGGGAGGGTCAGAATGGTCAGACAAATGACCCGTGGAGTCTCTCCACCTCCAGAAGTGCAGGTACCTCTGTCTCTGGGTCTCACTCTGCACCTAATCGCTGTCTCTATGCTGAGCCTACATCAGTGGTTTTGTTGAGCACGCAGTACAGCGTGGTGGGTAAAAGAGCAGGAACAAGTGGGGCGCTAGGGTCTGAGCTTCCCACTCATTAGACTGTATGCGTGTGGCTTTGGGGACAGGTGAGAGAGCACCGGACATCCGGGATTGGTACATGGGCCAGGTTAATACTTGGGATGAGTTTAGGACAGCACCTGGCCCACAGCTTGTGTGTGTGCTTTAGTTAAATGAATCCACAGTTCCCTAGCTTGCTGTATTCATAGATCTATGACCAGATTCCCAAGCACATTGGTTATCACTTACTCTCTTTCCCGAGCCTATTTTCTTTGCCAGACCTTAAAAGTTATTAAGTTTTATCTCCCACTTATATTATGACTGGTTTGATAAAACTGTTAAGTTTTACGTTTTCTCCTAAATGTTTTGATGTAAAAACAAACACACGGTCAGATGTCATGCTTAACGAATAAGAGAATTATGGGCCAGGAGACTATTACCTGTTAGTTTTGCCAAAGTATTTGGGGAAAAGAATCAAAAAATGTGAAATAGTAGAAGACTGTCTTTTTAAAAGACACTTTCTAGTTTGACAAACATGTCTTAATTCTTGGCCACAGTGTGTCACTCTGAACTCATCACCAAGTCTGACATATTTTGTTATTTCCATTTTAAAGGAGCCTCTATGGTAAGTGACACAAATGCAATCTACATTTCTTCCAGTCGCACAATGACTGAGAGGCATTTGGACAGTACAAAAGCTAAGCTGTGGCTTCCTGTCCACTCAGCTCACCTCCTCGTGCAGGAGTCACCTCCAGGGATGGACGAGCTCATCCCCATCACCTGGCAGCCTCACAGCTGTCCCTGAACAGAGCAGGCAGAATCACTGTCCCAACCTCTGTGGCCGGGCTGCAACTTCTCCAAGTAACAGAAACAAGCACCAACAAAGTGGCTTTTAGAAGTGTTCTTCTCTCTCTTTTTCTCTCCTTTGTTTTCATTTTTTTCTTACACAGATGACTTTGGAGTAAATTTTTACATATACACATCCGTTTCATATTTTTTCTACTTTGCAACTATGCAAAGGGAAACATTCATATATTTCCTCTCTTCTCTGAAATGGAACTTGCTACTTAAGCTTTCGGATGTCTTAATTTTTCAGATATCATAAGAGTTTCTCTTTGAAAATACCAAATAATGCAGCAAAGTTAGCCAGGAACAATTTGCTAGCGGCAAGCTGGTACCATCACAGGTGGTTACCAATTCCAAACGCATAGGATGCAGTGTGACAGAGGGGACGGACCTAAGTCTGAGAGGGCCACAGATCTGAGTTCGAGCATAGCTTGCAGTGTGTACTGGGCAGGTGGCGCGGCTGAATCGCTTTGCTTCAGTTTGCCCTGTCCCTGACGCACTCTTGCAGAGCTGCTGTGATTATTTCAGAAGTTACAAGACCGACTGTAATGTTTAGAGTCAGGAAAATACTGGCCTCGCCACTTGAGCCTCGAGGTGAACCCTCCCTGCTTCACAGGGTTGTGGCGAAGATGAAAAGACGGACTGCAGGGGAGGGCTCGGCCTGCGGCAGTGCTGTGTACAGCAGTGTTCCCGGAACCCGACGGTCTGTTCAGGCTCTTAGCAAAATCGGGAAGCTTACCAGACCATCATTAAAGTATGAGCTTTACAACAGCTTCATCAGCTATAATGGGGACACCAGTATCTGTACAATGTCTAGTATTACAGGGAAAAGCGTTCTCTGAAATAGTCATAGAATATTAAGGCCATAAGAAAAGTTTAGGCTCAGGAATGATTTATCAAAAGCTCTTAAAAAAAAATGAGTTGTGCTCTTGTGACTACTAGAAATGACTTCTGACGTGGAGTCAAATTTCAATTATGACTTACACCAAACTTTTCAGTCATAGTTTAAAATATATATAATACCATGTATAATTAATATGATGTTTTAATAAACTTTTCATTTGAAAACAAGGATAGGGTATGTCAGAAACAAGATATTAAAACCATGTAAATAGTTTCAATAATTAGGTATCTGGAATGGTTTTCCAAGATTCCACTTTCACTGAATTCATGTGTATTGAAAATCTAGAGAAGCCGAGGTGCTGTACTAAGAAGCTGTGCCTAATGCTACGTTACTATCATGAAGCCATTTAAAGAAAGGTTTAAACTCTGGACCTACCTTCACAAAGACTGCAGCATACAGTATTAGAGACTGAAGTATATGAAATTGCATTTGAGGCAGACAGTAAACAGTTTATAAATAGTACCAATAATAAAAAGAGAATAAGTGAATGTAAAGCATGAAACCATAATTAGAATGATAACCAACTAAAAGTCATTTGAGAACATGAATTTAAATTGAGTAAAAAATTCAAATAGGAATATACTGAATCCATTAGTACAGGATATGACTGAAAAATATGTTGAAAAAACAGGAGAAAAAACCTTGGCAAGGTAAAAAACTGGGGGGATTGAAGGGGTAAGAGAGAATTACCCATTAAGAAGACCGATGAATTCAAGCTCATCAAGATTTAGCACTTTGGCTCTCCACAAATACCATTAAGAAAAGGCAAGTTATAAGCCAGAAGAAAATAACTGCAAATTGTAGCTAAAATATACACAAAGTTTTATAATCGGATGGCTAAAAATGGGCAAAATACTGAAATAGTGAATATGCACATAAAGACAGACAACATTTGTGGCAATCGAGGAACTGGCAAGACTATGTCACCCCATTTTTTCAGCCACTTAGGGAACATGGTCACTGCAAGGTCTTACCTGGATCAGGTGTGCTGGCACTGTGACCACACAGGCCGAGAGTGAGGTTCGCACGAGACCACGGAGAACGTAGAGGAACTTGGTGAGGCTGTGACCGCTGTCACCGCTCTCTGCACAGCAAGAGTTGTCTCCCCATAATGGTGAGCCAAGGCTCTGAATTCCTATTCTTAAGATATTTCTCTGTTTCTTCTACAAGGAAGTGGGATGGAGGTAAACATGTAAGGTTTGGTTAATCAGTAAGACAATCAATCTCGTTTATCTGCTACCTGTTACTTTTATTTGTAACATCAGCAAGACAATGTCAATAGACATGTAAAAACTATGTACTGACAGTAATAAGGCAGTATATAGGCAATCTTTTAGATTGCAAGAGCACGAAAAAATAACAGACCAAGCCAGACGTGGTAGCTTGCATATAGTTTCCAGCTACGCAGGAGACTGAGGCCACAGGATCAGTGAATCCACAAGTTCGAGGATAGGTCAGCAACGTTGTGAGACCTTGTCTCTCAATTAATTGATTACTTAATACGATTGCTAAATTTGTTTCAGCTTTGGAAAATTTGAAGAGTATGCCTCAAATTTTAAGTTGTCTCTAAATTTTAATAGTAAGTATTTAAGAATTATGTTTGAGGGGCTGGGGATTTAGCTCAGTGGCATAAGTGCCTGCCTTGCAAGCAGGCAGTCGTGAGTTCGATCCCTGGTACCGATAAAAACGAAAAAGACAAAAAAAAAAAAAAAAAAAAAAAAAAAAGAATTATTTTTGAGAAAGTTAAAAGAATATATAAGAAACCATAGCTAAAATATAAGCTAACATGTTTATAGACACAGTCTTAGAATTAAATTGTTTTTCAATACACTATAAATTACTCAATATTTCTCTTTTAAATTATTCTGACCTGTGTTTGCTCCTCTGTTTGAAAGATATTTAACAATGTAAAACTTTTTTGTTTTACATTTTGTCATTGCCTCTAGTTTTTCCTTTTGAAGCTATTTTTATAATAATATTTTAAATTCAACATTTTTCATAAAATTTAACAGGCAAATATTTAGAACTTGAGCTACTAATATTAAGATCATAATAACAGTGACCAATATTTCTTAGGAATAAACAGTTTACAGTCACCAAAAACCTCAGAAAGTATTTGCCAACACATGTGTCTGAAATACATTCTATTGTTTGGGTTGTTCTAGCTGAATAAATGTTTTGTAAATGCTTTTCTTAGCAATCCAGCAAAATTTCTGGGCAAAATTAAGAGGTGTTATCAAAAACTGGCACATACAAATACATGGAAAATCATTACCACTACAATTCTAGTGGGGAAGATGTTCCTTCTTAAAGCCATCCTTGGGGTACGTGTCACTTTAAATGTGATTTCTGATGAAACAAGACCCTAAAATAGACCACTTGCAGTTGTAGAATAGCACTCATAACATTTATCAGCAGTTAGTTACAGCCCATCATAATGTATGATTGCCTGATCATACAAATGTATTTTTTAAGCAGAATTTATTGACAAATAGAAGTAGGAAGAGTGAATAAAACACTCAACTGCTAGAAGAGGAAACCCCGCGGACAGTGGTTAGGTGAGATGAGCAACATGGCCCTACAGTGTGGGCTGCCAAAGTAGGTAGGCGTGTGGCCCTGGGCACCATACACAAGCTCCTCTTGGGACCCAGAGGGGTAGCTGACTCCAGGACAACAGCATCAGTGGGTACGAGACTCCTGCACTTATGTGGGAGACTCAGAATTCACACTGGCCCTAGGCATACCCTCCATGTGCTTTAAGTCAGCTCTAGGTTTAAGCAATCAATGTACCTATAAGATATAACTGCTCTGCAAACTGCTCGCTGTACTGATTAGAGAATAAGACAGGAGAAGAAAGGGCTATGCTGAGATCAGAGGAACATGGTTTCACAGATTTTCAATCTGCAGCTAACTTCATCCACATGTGTGGAACAGGTCAGCTACCCAATTCTTAAGCCACAGTTTCCTCATCAATAAGGTTAAAAGAACAGAATAGAACACTGCCCTTTACTTCCACACAATTCTTTTAATATATGAAGGGACCTGGAGGCCTTGATAAACTACAAAAAAAGAGATAACAAAAAAGGAATTTTCTAAGCACATTAGACAAAATGTCCTGACATCAAGAACTGGAAATAAGGCAGAGCCACGGGTGCTGGTCCAGCACCCTCTCAGGTAGTGATTTGGTCAGGGAGGACAACCACCTAGTAGGTTCATGCTGGGGTCCTGATCACCATGAACACTGTGTGGTTTTCATTTCTGCATCACTCGAGTGAAATGCAGCAGAGATACACCAAGGTATATGCTGGAAGTACGACCATGTCCCTAGCAAATCTGTGCCGGACAGCTGCAAAGTATGTGAGGGTGCTCCTTTCTTTCATTACGTACACTTCAAATTTTAGGTAAAATGGCAAAAATAATGACAAAATGAATTGTCATTTCTGAGCTTGTTCTCGCTTGTTAACCAGCTTCAATTTGATTCCCCACAGCAAGAGCAACCAGGGAAAGGAAGCCAAGCCTCCCAGCTCCCTGCAAAATAGCTAGATGTCAGGATGAAATGTGAAGCTGATGTCCCTGTCTGCTCTTCAGAAACTACAGATCAGGGCACTCTAACCTTAGCCAGGGTCCCCGTCACCTGCTGCGCAGCAAAAGACACCTGTGCAAAGTGTGTGACAAGAATGCTGCTGAACAAGGGCCCAGAAGAGGGGCAGAAGGTCTGGCGTGCTGACCTGCACAAGCAGAAAGAATGAAAATATGTGGGCCAAGAATAAACGCACAAGACACCCAAGGGAAGACACAGCAGACTGCAACACAACTGAATTTAATACTTCAACACAACAGACATAGCCAAGATTTTTTTTTTTTTTTTTTTTTTTTTGTCTTTTTCATTTTTATTGGTACCGGGGATCGAACTCATAACCGCCTGCTTGCAAGGTAGGAACTTATGCCGCTGAGCTAAATCCCCAGTCCCCATAGCCAAGATTTTTAAGAACATGATATTGAGTGGAAAGCAAGGCCACTAATCTCCTGCACTGCTTGGGACACTGAATTTCTCTGCTATACCAACCATTGGGGAGCAAACCATGTGGCATGATTTGGTCTAAAAAAACTTTCGCTGAGAGCTGCACAATAAATGCATTTCTATCTTGTGAATATCTAATGTATTTAATCTAGTACCGCAAGTAAAGTCAGTGTTTGAATTTATTTTTATTATACTGTATTTCTTAGACATCTGAAAGTCTAACTTAAAAAAAGAGATGTTGTGCCGGCATTCTGGAAACGGTTACACCCCAGACATCTTTACAGATGAGCTACACTATGTAACTTCCCACAGAAGTTAATTATAAGGTAGAATATAATATTCTGCTTCTTAGAGTGTATTGCTATTTATTGTCTCCAATTAGCTCAGTTCATTTGGAATTGCAGTGATAGATAAAATTTTCCTTTTAAAAAGTAGAATTTATTTCAGTGTAAATATAAAATTTTAATTTGGGAATATACTTTCTAAAGTAATATTTGATAAACGCCTTTTCTGTCTCTTAAATTCATTCAAAGTTTCTGAGACCGGTGAATAGATTCAGTAATTCAACAAACAATACAAACTATACAATATAAACCTATAATTTCATGATATGGATATTTACTGACTATATTTAATTTTAACAAAATGGGGACTGTACTTTTATAGTAGCTTATTGGTTTATTTTAATTTTAAAAAGTCAGGCACTCTTGATATTCAGCACAGAAATGTCTACCTCAATCCTGTTCAATCTTTATGACCATCGACAGGGCAGACAATCAAGGTAGCTCGCTTGTTGTCTTATCGATTTTCATGAAAAAAAAGTACTGTTTCTTGAAAATGGTGCTATTTTCCATATTCAGCTAAACAATGAAGACAACCAAACTCTGTTCCGATGCTAGCTTACTCACTCAGGATTCCTAGGTGTATCTGCTGGGGTGTGTGTGTGTGTGTGTGTGTGTGTGGGTGTGCATGAGTCCTTTGCTATTTATTGTCTCTGCATTTCTGAATTCTAAGAAATGTCCTGCTCTTGGAAGATGGGTCTCCATCCTGCATGAGCAGTGGCCTGCACACTGTGCTACGGGAACTGTTATGACATGCCTGTTTCTATGGTTACCGCTGTGCTGGAGAGAGGTGCCTGTCAGGGACCAATTTACTCTCCAGACGAGCACTGGCAGCGAAGGGAGGGCAGGGTCCCCACAACCTTAGCATCTTAGCGAGGGCCAATGTGCAGCCACAGTAAGCAAAACAGAATCCTATGCAAAGCCTAAGGCCACGGCAGTATATCTGTGCCCCACCAAATGCATACCAGTATTTCCAACAGCCTATGAGACTGTCAGTTGACACAAATTGAAAAATTATTTCTTTTGTAATGAAGAAACTCAAGTATAGCAGTAAAGTTTATAAGAATATTTGTCAGTCTGTGAGTTCACAGCAAATGTAGCTAAGACTGACAAAAAATAAGATTTTTGATCCTGTCTTGTCAGTAAAAATAACGGAGCTATGGAACATTTGTGCTAAAATAATGCAAGTTGGGTGCAGGTCTCTCAGTTGCAAATGCAATTAAATCACTAGGGAATAAATTTAAAAGGCATGATATCTCAAAATATAGTTTTCCTCTTTTTAAGTTAAACTAGCCAGAGCATCTTGATTGGTGGGAAGTGGAAAAAATATTTCGAATTAGAGCTACAGAGAAGAGTTAAGCTACAAAATGTTTTAATATGGTATGGCAAATAAAAATGTACTTTTTATTTAGTGAAACAATCAAAACATATAACAAGATAAAATTTTAAAATAATTCCTACATGTAATTTGAAACTAAAACCTGAATGACAGAAACATGAAAAATGCTATACATAGAAATTTTCCAGTGTTGCAAGTTTGAAAGTCAGTTTTGAAATGTGGCTATTTATTAATCCCAGAAGCCACAGCCAGCCATTTAGAAACAGTGCTGACACTGCATGTGTGCATCTTCTGGCGCCCCCTGAGCCCAGCACCAATCTGAACAGACCCGCGGGGGAGCCTGGCCCCAGCTGCTGGTTCACCGGCTGGCGCCTGACAACAGCTCGCCGCTGCTGTACACTGGCTAGGACTTCCGGGTCTGCTCCTAGACAATCCGAAAACTGCATTCTCTGCGTGGCTGGAAAAGGCTCTAAGGGAACACAATACCTGGGGATTGGATCCATCAACGCCTTCCTCAGAAATGACCTTCTTGATAAACTCAAGCAGCATCGTGTAGCCATGGGTCAAGTGGCTGTTGGTGAGAAGTGGTTGAGACACATGAATGGGTTACGAGGGAGGAGGAGCAAGCTGCCCTACAACAGGACGTCAACAATGCAAGACACAGGGTCACCAGATCGCGGAAAGCAAACGCGTTGGACTAGTGTAAGTAATGCTAACGTCTGAAGCAATCCAGAAAGGGAGTAAGCCACACGCCTTACCTCGCGTAGGGCTCTTGACATCACAGGAATATAAACTGTGGAGACTGAGATGACTTAATTATGTCAGGCCTGCTTACCTCCACGAAAATTAATGATTTAATGAAGCAACCTAAATGATGGAGCCACTATAGCTTTCCAGGAGTAATCATACATAATTAACACATAGTTAATGAACTGCTATGCCAAGTACACCTGAATCATTGTTCTAATCTCCTGAGCTCATCTTTCATCAAAGTTTTAATTTTCTTTGCACAATCTGCTAAAATGATAGTCGTTTCCAAGCTTGATATTTTAAGACACATGAAGACAAGTGGATATATTCTCTATGAAGTTACTGTTTACCCACTTCTGTTAAATACAACAAAGTACATTGTGAATTTATGAGGACACCCTAAATTATTGCTGACATGAATACAAGCATTACCATTATAATTTAAAAATGTTTCACAAATGCTAGAAAATCTCAAAGAAAGACTAAGCAGAGCAGAGAAAACCTGGTTTACACTAGCAGCAGGGAGAGTCTGCACACTGGATGGCCTTGTGCCATGGCTGAGTGTGAACCGTCACAGCAGGATAGTTCTGGAACACAGCTGTTCATTGACACCAACAGACTAAGGGTTGCAAAAGCTGTGCAGGAAATGCACAGGAGCATTTGTTCGCGGTGCTCTCAGGAAACAGTCATATAGGAAGGAACCAAGACTTTAACAAACAATGCCACAGAATATGAAGCATGTAAACTACAAAAAGGACACCAAAAGTTAGGAAATCGACCTCTTAGAGCAGCAGTGGGTGCCCAGCAGAAACACACATGCACTCTGTACCGCTGCTAAGCCACAGCTCACCCCAAAGTGACTACCATGTACGCGTGAAAGAGCACAAGGGACAAGGTGTCTGTGTGCACAAAACAAGCCCGGCATGAGGTGATGAGGGCCGTGGTGGCTCTTTCTCATCTAGTTCTGCCTCCACTTTCAGTGTGAATGCAGTCAGCTATGCGGACACATCCTCCCACTTTCGTAGGTGAAGCAGCACGTCCATGAGAAATATTCTATAAAGGCAGCTGTGTGACTATTTCCATCTTCCCAGAAATCTGTAACTAGACATTCAGCTTTCAGAACACAGCGTACCGTTCCAACGCAGCACAGTCCATCTGGATCCCAGTCACTGAGCTTCTCACAGGGACTGAAATGTGCCCCAAGCACCCAATGAGGAAATGAATTCCAGCCCACCCTGTGAAAACTGCTACTACAGGTTAAACGGGGTGTACACACCCAGCATCTCCAAATACACAAATCATACATCAGCTAAGATTAGTGTTATTTCAAATAACAACGATGGTAATATGGGATGATGATGACGAGTACGATGGTGATGAGGATGAAGACAAGGATGATGATGACAACAACAAAATGTCCTCCAGTATTATGCTGCCACCAGTAACAGGACTTCCTTTCCTCTGGAAGGGTAAAAAGTGCTCAGTTGCACGCATGGCATTTTGTTCTCTGGTCTGTTGCTGAACGCTTGGGTTGACTGTATCTTGGTTACTGAGAGTGGCACTGCAATACTATGGAAGCCGGTCATCCCCCCAAAAGCAGGACTGCCGCATCCAGCAGCTGTTTGGAAGGTCTGAGGACCCTCCACACTGTTTTCCATAGCGTTGTAACAGTGCATAATTCCCACCAACATGTACCGGGGTCCCTCTTTCTCTGATACTTATCCTTTGTCTTTGTGCTAATAGCCATTCTGACAGGTGTTAGATGATCTCATTGTGATTTTAATTCACGTTCCCCAGATGATTAATGACGCTCAGCATTCTTTCGCATATGTGTTGTCCAGTTGCATGTCTTGTTTTGAGAAGTATCTGTTGGGGTCCTTTGCTCATGTGTTACCCCAGTTGTTACCGTGCCGTCAGGTTGTTCAGCCTTTTCTATATCTGGGGTGTTAACCTCTTCTCAGAATACCGCCTCCTCCTGCCCTGTGTTCTCTCTCCACCACGCCTCTTCTGTGGGCAGAACAGGGCCTTCTCTTGTACAAGAACAAAACAAAGACCCAGAGCCAGTATACCTTGAGCGTTTCTTTAACCTCAAGATAAGACAACCCATCACCAACAACGCTGAGCACTCTGCAAGTAATGAGATCCATTTCTGCAACCGCTTAGAGCCGGAGGAAAATAACAGCCCTGACAAAATGGGATACCTTTCATTTGGGTGTATCCATTGTTAACACTAACATGAGGATTGAATCATTTTAAGACTACAATCATTTACATGTTTTGGTACTAAAATACTAAGTACTGCTGACCTCCATGCATTCCCTTGCATTAATGTTTATGATAATGAGCCAAGTGTGGTGGCACACCGCTGTAATCCCAGTGCTCTGCAGGCTGAGGCAGGAGGAGCTCCATGAGTTTGAAGGCAGGTTGGGCTACACAGTGAGTTTAAGGCCATCCTGAACTACACAGCAAGATCCTCTTAAAAACAAAATATATAATGTATATTTTGCTGAAATAAAAATTTTCAATTTGTTATTGACAGTTTTTAAATCTGAGGATGTGTATTTCTGGGTGTATGTGGTGTCAATTAGCCTAGGAGTTACAGATACAGCTCAGTGGCGCGGTACCTGCCTGGCAAGTAGATGTCCTGAGGTTTTTTGTTTTTTGTTTTTTTTAAATTGGTACCGGGGAATCAAACTCACGACCACCTGCTTGCAAGGCAGGTGCTTACGCTGCTGAGCTAAATCCCCAGCCCTGACATCCTGAGTTTGATTCCCAATATCCTTCACCAAAAAAAAAAAGCAAAGAGTAGATAGTAACAAGGAAGCTCAGTTACAAATATGACCCAGGTTTCCTTATTAATGAGTCCAACATTTAACAAAGCTTAGCCAGATACAGGTGTTTCTTAAAACCTGCCCCAAAGGTAGTACGTTTTTAATCATGCATACTGTATTTTTCCTGATTTTCATGATTTTTGAGAACTTGTATACTAAAATGGTCTACTTTGAGATTTTACACTTGTGTGTTTCAAGTTATCACTGTATAAGCAATATAAAAATAATCAGTAGAACTCATTTTTACCTTTAAAAGTTCAAGCACTTAAATTATCTTAAGTTTAAAAAAGAAAAAAGCTTGGGAAAAAGGAGATAATCTTTTGAGAATATACACTACAAAATTAAAATTCTGTTAGCAGGTCATCATGGTGAAGGCCTGTAATTTCAGTACTTCGGGAGGCTTAGTCAGAAAGAGCACACACAAATTTGATCCCAGTTGGAGTAATTCAGCATCTTAGCAAGACCTTGTCTTAAAATAAAAAGTAATAAAAGGTCCTGGGTTCACTCTCTAAGACCAACAAGAAATAATATGTATGAAATTAAAATAACTCATCAACACAGGAAAACTTTACACACAGGCCCCTGGGTAACTTTAGTTGATAAAGAATCTGATACATTGTAAATACTCAAAAAACTCCTGTATTACAGTCACAACACACGACAGCTACCACAACCCTATGTGTATGCACAGCCACTGCTGCCGCTTCATGAGTGGGTCAGCGGACATGTCCACAGGTGTCCATCAGGTTGCACAGGACACACGGACCTCCAAGGTCCTGCCCCTTAGCATCCCCTGCCCTGCTGGCCACACTCACATCCAGCCTGAGTGCGGTCCACGTTCGGGGCAGAGGCTGTGGGTTCAGGGTCCCACGCATGCACTCAGCAGTCTGGAGAAGCACTGTGTGTGACGTCGGGGTCCCTCCTGGGCTGTGAGGAGGAAGTGTTTGCCCTCGACCGCTGTTGCAGTTTAATTCTCCTCATGACCCACAAAAGCATCCCAGCCAGGCGTGTGACCCATAAAAACATCCCAGTCGGGAGTGGTAGTACACGCTTGTAAACCCAGCACTTGGGAGGCTGAGGCTGGAGGATACCAGTCTACAAAGTGAGTTCAGGGCCAGCCTGAACTGCATAGTGAAACCCAACCTCGAAAAGACTAAAAAAAAAAAAAACGTGGATATGGAACAGTGTGTGCTCACAAATCTGCAAATTGGGTGCCAGCACTTCCTGGTATAGTAGTCCACTAAGATTGTGGTCTGACTCTACCTGTGCCATAGCCACAGCTAAAGGCAGGACCCGATGCGAATTTTTAAATTTAGGGTCCTGCTCCTCAAACTTTTCCCATAAAAATCGAGAAACTCTTATCCATTCTGCCTTTAAAGCAGGATGTTCAAGAATGCTTTCATCATTGAAAACGTGTTGCTGGGCTTTTAAAAATCAGAATTTCGGTTATTTAAAGATTATTTAACTACCTGATGAAACAATCATGGGGAAAACAGAAATAGAAAAAGAAGCTGTTATTCCTAATCAGGATTAACTCAAAATAAGGATTAAGCTGTTGAGACGTTATTAATAAAAATCAACGCGCACACAGGACCTGTACCACCGAAATTCTCCCTACACGCGTGTTTCCGGTTCCCGTGTGCAAGCACTGAGCAGGCTCGGTGCTCCCACCCGGCCACACCTCAGGCCAGCCTGCCAAGTGGCAGCTGCGCCCAAGGAGGGTGCGGTCTGTTCTCCCCGTTTCAGGTGAAAAGCCTTATTCCCATTACCCTGAAGGCTGTCACTGACTGAGCTTTCGGACGCTTTTCTCCCACTGTGAGTCTGAGGAAGCTCACCACAGAAAACCCAGCCGGGAGAAGAACACGGTCAATGGTGCTGCGGGAGGGATGGGCGGCCGCAAGGGGCGGCCCTTCAGAAGAGCACCGAGGGCTCCGGGCCACGCCCCCAGGGTCTGGCGAGGATTCCTGCAAGAGGCGGACTCTGCTTGAAC